TTGGTATGCCTTTCCAGCTGTCTGTGTGGTCGTCCTTTTTGATTCGTTCCCAGGGCGCACCATTTTTAAAAACTGAGGAACAACTACAATGGACAACTACTACGACAGGTTAATCGGTCTTTTTGCCAACTCCATTAACAGAACCTGTTCGTCTTCGATGTCTATCAACTATAGATCCATCTCTGTGACTGTGATATCTTACAGACACGCCATTGTTGTGGAAAATAAACACTCTGCCGCCAAAATTCTCGTGGCCAGCCCGTGAACTTCTAGCGTGTTCTTGAATAGGCTCCCCCCTTGAGCTTTGGCAGGAATCTGCTGTGCGTCCCTAGAAATTTCAGACCGACGGTGCAGTGGCATACCAGTAAAACTGGTTCGTGACCAGACCCAAGTGACGTTTGATGTGTGCGGTTGCAGAAGTATAATCTGCCCTTTAAGCTATGTTCACACTGCAGCCTGAAGTGACTCAGATCAGATTTTTTTTGCCCATATGCGGCTTGTATCCGATATTTTTATGGCAGTCTGAACAACACAGATACGATTTTTTTCAATGCCACCCAGGCCACTTGGCTATGTGGTCCTGAATCTGATACATATCTGATCTTTTCAAATGTGACCTGTGTGTGAACGGCAAGGTCGCATTCATCTGACCTGATCGTCATTAATACTCAACAAAGGTCATTATTCTGCATCTTGCTGTGCAGAGGCGGGAAGAAAAACAGCAACAATGTCAGACAATAATGCTGAGAGCAGTCTTTTTTAACCATCTTGAAAAGATTACGTTTTTAAAGTTGGGAAAGATTGCTAGATGCACTCCAGCACTACCATCCATGTTTATTTCTGTAAACACAGAAGTAGACATGGATGCTTGCTTGTGATGTCATTGCGCATATTATTTGGAAATGTGAACAGCAATGCAAAAAAATAAAATTTATAATAATCAGATTTCCCAAAAAATCATAATTGAGCATTAAGGCCTGCAGTGTGAACGTAGCATAAGACATTTATCAAAATCTATGAAATTTGTGTGGTTGTACTAAAGGAGCTTTATCCTGGATTTCCCAAATTGGTGAATCCTAATCCTTTTTTAAAATCCAGATTGAGTTTTGATATAGCTGCAAATGATTAATTTGATATCGCGTCCAGTCTGTCACAGACATTTAGATTGAACCGAATAAAAACCTTAAAGGAACACACTTTGCGATCACGCACTGTATCTTCATGCAAGCAAACCGATATAATCCTGCATCGTGATAAAACTGTTGATTTACATCCCTATTAAAAACATATGCTTCCTTCGTATTTAGATATAATGCTTCTGCCTTATAAGCAATTTCGTAGTGCTGTCAGGTCACCATGACAACCCGTTTTTTTACTGGGATCGGGTAACTTAACTTGGATGATAGAGCAATTACTTACTGTAATGGCCTTACATGTGGCAAGAGAACTGTAGGAATTTCTCTGCTCTGTTTGATCCCACTACTAACACTATATTTGGAATGGATTTAGAGCTCATGGAAGTAAATTTTAGCATGATTACTGTAGTTTGCTTACTACATTTTTCTAAACATTCTTTAATTTTTAAGTTTAAAGCAGCTGAGATTTGCTTTCGAGGAAGATCTGAGCCACATAGGTATGATGTCGGATGTACAGTACCTGGAGTCATGCTGTTTTTTATGAAAAGCAGACTCTATCAAACTGCTTGGGTATGTGTGAGTTTTTCTGTCTCCTCATCTCAACAAGCCCATTCACCTCTCCTCTAAAGTCTTTCGTCTATGGAAATGGGACGCCACACTCCTGTGAGCAACCCATGGGGATCCAGCTATACACACATGCATGGGCACTCTCAGAGCGGGATGGTTTAACAGATGGCGTCAGCTGTATCCGTTACAAAGATTACCCAAAACCACACAAATGCATTTTGCGGCCACTGGCTTTGTGAGTCCACCTCATTAAACTCAATGGTGTTTTTATGAGGCATGGCAACATTAGAGCCACCTACCGCTTTCATCTGTCCCTCTGAGTTCTGTATCCACCAGCAGACTGGGAGAGCTTAGAAAAAAAACACAACATGGCATTTTATGCCTGTCTGAATATTGTTTGATACGGGGATAACCTTGCATATATGGCCATTTAATAATTTTGGTTACACCATTTCAGAGAAACTCCTACAAGGAAATCATCATAGTCCTAGTTTCTAGATTGTTTTTACACAGATGCTCTAAAACAGACAACAGACATACAGTAATAGTTCTTCCTCAGGAGCTTCCATAATGCTTAAAGGGACCTAGTCGCACACTATGCCTATAACCCCCCCACAAAAAAACAGATGTTAATGTCAAAATAAAGCAAAGGTTCATCCTGATAATGTTTACTTTATCCTTTTATAACCCTGAAAAGTATTAGTGACCGACCTTGTGGCGCAGTTGGCAACATAAACCTTCCTGCCATCTGCTGGCAGTACTTGTTCATGCATCAATCAACTTACCAATTTCTGAGGCTTTAGTTCCCGCTTCAGTGAACTCCAGCGTTGATATCGTATTCCGAGCATTAATTTTCTGTTATCCGTCTTTTAATCATTCTTCCACTTTTTTTTCCCCACTGGATCTTAGCTTAAGTTGTTTGGCTCCTTTACTTTTTCATTTACTCATTGCTCATAGGCACAGAATTGTACCTCTACGGGATCCTGTTAAGGTAAATGCTGACAATGCTAAAGTTTATAACAAATAAAAAACACAGTATAAGATTGAATAAGCCAGCAGTTCGCTATCATTTATTCAGAAAGCCTTCATAATGAGGAGTGGCGGCCTAGTGGTTAATTCAATTCAGTTTATTTATATAGTGCCAGTTCACAACACATGTCATCTCAAAGCACTTTACAGTTCATCAGATCATACAGTCATATTGATTCAAAGTTTTCTATCTTAGGGAAACCAGTTGGTTGCATCGACTTATTGACTCGAATGCAATCCTTCCCACTAAGCATGCTTGTAGCGACAGTGGAGAAGAAAAACTCCCTTTTAACAGGAAGAAACCTCCAGCAGAACCAGGTACGGTGTGAGCGGCCATCTGCCGAGGTCGACTGGGGTTCAAGGAGACAGAAGCAGAGATACAAAAAGCAGCTGTAAAAGGCGGCCCCGTCCAGGAAACACACAGCCAGGCAGACGAGCTTCGAGCCAACCAAAGTTAGGGCATAGAGCTTGGAATCCTGAGGTTCTGAGTTGAAGCCCCACTCCTGCATACTACCACTCTGGGTCTCTGAGCAAAGACCTTTAACGCTCGATTGATCCCCGGGCGCCACACGATTGCAGCCCACTGCTCCCCAACGGGATGGGTTAAATGCAGAGATTGAATTTCTCCAATTTGAGATCAATAAAGTTCAGTTATTTATTAATTATTTATATGCAGCCAGATTGAGCTACTTGCCTACAGATTCGTGAAGTCATTAAATCATTCATTAAATCAACTTTCTCATATTTTTTTCTGTTAATTGAAAGAGAAAGCAATCCTGTAATATTCGAATCTTAAGCCGATGACAATGATGAAAATCCTAAGTTGTATTAATACATCAAGACAAGAAACACTGTCACAAGAAAATGATGAGTCACATTTTGGCAAAATTTTTTTGGAAAATGTGGAATCCCCATTTGCAGTTTTCACAGTTAGATTACAGGTGTCATAAGTTAAAAACTATTTGATGGAGCATCCATGATCAGGGTTAGATACTGTCACACACTGAACTTAATACTCAGATTTTTGTGTATTTCTAATTCAGTTCCAAAACCAAAAAGACTCTCTAACATGTTTTGTGTATTCGCAAACAGGGTAAAGTTTTTTCAAATCTAAGTATCATATCCAGTTTAGATTTGATCTGTGTAAGTATTTTAAATCACTGTCATTATCTTGGCTTAGGGAAATGTTTGTTTCCTCTTGCTGAAATGCAATTTTATTGGAATTCAGCACCTTTATTGATATACACCCAAAGTTCTAACCATCAAAACGGAATGAGTTATATTAGGTGTATAAGACAGCTATTCTATGTTATTTTCTAAACTGAAGGAATTACTGCAATGCTGTTCTATGTAATGATAAACAGAAGTTTGACTGATTTAATTACACAAACCACAACAGTTATAGCTAGAGGTAATTGATAGATTGTATTTTACTTACAGCTTTATCTTTGTTGGACTTTTAATCTAAAGATGGTTTAAACTAACGGTGAAAAAAGAGTTTTAGAAGCTATGAAGCATCCGTTAAACTTAAGTACCTTTAGGGGCTAATGGTAGGCCGATCTCTGTGTTCTCACATTTGTGTTGTGTCTGTCACAACATTTCTGCTTCCTATGGAGCATCCAGAAGCTGCAACTAAAAGGATTTAAAAGATGTTGAGCCTAATTAGATATTTATAACACTGCGTTATCAGCTGTATTTAAATGCAGCATTTATTAGTAGATTCTGTACAACATGGCATTTTAGATCCTAGTACCATATCAGCAGCTGTATGGGAGCTAAATGGGCTTTATGCACAACTCCATTACTTTTTGAACTTAAGAGAACTCATTTGTTTCTGGTCTTTCATTACCGGATGAACTGAATAATCCGGTTGTGTCTGGCCATGGTTACTGAGGTCAGGCACGCCTGGAATAATCGATTCATCAAGTAAGAAGACAGGAAAAAAAAGAGCTGCCTTAAGTTTAGGAAGTATTTGGATCATTAGTATGGACAGCTTTCATTGAATCTGGTTTTCTGAAGTCTTTAGAGGAAGTATCCCTACCATAACGATGCAGCTTTGATGATACATCTTAATAGATGAAAGGTAGATTTAAATATTTTATGCAATATTAGAAACATGAAGGGTTTTGGAGCAGAGAAGTACTAAAATTCCTTCTTAGAAAAGTTTCTGAATGCTACTTTCTGAATCTGTCTTTTCATAACCTCTCTTTTTGCTATCATTCCACCTTCCTTGTTCTCTCTAACTTCAGTTCCCTCTCTCTTTCCTAGCCAGCAGATTTGGATGCTTGGGTAAGCAACAACACTTTTACCTTCTTAGTTCGACTATTCCTTTCAGTCTACGTTTATTTCTCTATTTAGATGTCATGTTTTCATCGTGCATTAAAGCTAGGCTGCAAGTGTGCTGCCGCCATCATCTCCACACAACAAACCTTTGGGAGGTATTCAGCTAGAAAATTACACATCATCTGTGCTGCTGGCAGAGGAGATTTTACATGTAAACGCACATATACACACATTCTCCAAGTTTCAGACAGCTGCTGTTGGAAAGGAGGGCACAGTGTAAGGACTTGCAGATGTGCCCTTCGAAGATGTGTTTGTCTTTAAGTTAGAATTAGATTACACTGGAGTTTGATAAATGTTATGTCTATCAGTGTAAGTGTGATTGTCTGCATCCTGAAATATTGTAATTGTTCAGATAAATAGTTGGTCTGTCAAGAAAAAGTGTCTTCATCAATGTGATATAGTTTTTTTTTTTACAGTGTCCTGTCTGGCAAGGTGGCAATAAGAATAATTGTCTTGATGCCAAAAGGAGCCCAACAGATTTTACTTTCACAAGTGTAGCGGTATCGCAATTGCCATACCGCTCCACTTGTTTCATGTATATAAATTGCTTTATTATAATTATGCAGGGAGTTTGTGATATAGTGATATAGTTTTTGGTGTGTATCTTTTGAGTAGTTCATCCATGTGTGATGTCTGTAGTTTATTTGTTTTCAAGCAGAATGTCACGTTCATACTAGATTAATTGCATTCACAAACCTCTATTTTAAACTAAACATTTGATTTGTTTGAATGTACAGAAAGATAATTAATCGGCCATAAAAGGCAAAGATATTTGACCTCTGGAAAGATTTCAGGGAGTGTGTAGGTGTTGAAATTGACTCAACAGTCCGCTTTACACTTTTTGTGCTTCAGTCAAAAATGTCTAAAAAGCCAGATTTAAAATATTTTACTCCTGAGCTACTAATCACTGAAAAATTGAGAAGAATCCAAGTTTCAATGTTTACTAATTTTTATTTTTCTAAAAAGATGCATAATAGGTCATTTGTTTTCAACAAAACCAGGAATTGCAACAGTTGTGGAAACCCTCAAATCCATTTGAAATAAAAATACCCAAATCAATATTGTTATAGGAGTTTCTTAAACTTGACAGAGCCAAGTTTCTCTCAGCCACTGGCCACTAGGAAGGACTTATGTATATCCATAATTGTTTTGCCATTAAGTACAGTGAGCAGAAAGAACTGCAGAAAGGGCTAGCATCTCAGTGTCAGGTCGCCATGACAACCATTTGATGGTGTCCATGTGCACAGCTTGGTACCAAACATTTTATGCATGTTGGGTATGAAATAAACTATGAATATGTTAAAACCACCCTAAGACCTTTTCAATGTATGAAGTAGGGGTATAAATCACACCCATCATGGCAATTCGATTCAGTATCAATATCCTGACCCAACCATTCGATTATTTTAGATACTCAAGAATACACCCCGATATGATACGATTAGATTAGATTAATTGGTTAATCTCTGCTAACTCTGCTGTGTCTGTCTTACCTACTGTTTACGCGAGTGTGTGTGTTCCAACGGAAAGAGGGTAGTGGTTAAAGGAAGCAAGGTAGGAGGGAAAAATAAGTTTAGCCCACCGAACCCCGCTGAATCAGAATTGCGTCCAGAAGCAAATGGATAAAAATAGACAGGAGAATAAAACAAAACATCAATCGATACTCTAGCAGACGTGCCTATGTGTCGGATAGTCGGCTTTTGGATCGACGCATTGATACAAAATGGGTATTATTTACACCCCCAGTATGATGAGGACCCATGGTGCTGTGGGCCTGTTTCTGAACCTGAAAACCTTTTTAGAGTGCATGAAATCATAAGATCTGTTGTTCTCCATGAGAAACAGGAATTGGGTCATAATTGGGTCTTTTGAAAGGATAATAATCCAAAATATGAGCAAGATCCTTAACCTCACACTGCTCCCCAGGTGCTCCACGATGGCGACCCACTGCTCCCAAAGGGGATGGGTTAAATGCAGAGGTACATTTTTTGCAATGTGAGATCAATAAAGTTCAATTATTATATATTATTATAAATATGAGGCCAAGTCAACAATAGCTTCCTCTGTCTCTGTCCCATAGACCCTAAAGATAACCTGGAGACTGAACTGAAAAGAAGAACGTAATAAAATTTAAAGGACCTTGTGAAGCTGTACAGAAGGCAAAGTATATTTACAAAGTATTAGGGCTTGGTGATCAATCAGTGAATTCAAAACTGTCATGATTTTTCTTTGGGGGGGGATGCACTTGGGCTATAGTTTAGGCTGACATCAGCTCTGATAAACTTTAAACTTGAGTTCTATTGCTAGCTGCAAACATCTTGCGTGATATGTTTTGTTGTTGTTAACAGTAACAGGGCATGACAGCTTGTTTTAAAAGAATGTTTAGCAGCTTCTGTGAAGTTGCAGTTTGAATTCAGGTCACTTCCCAGAAGCGATAATGATGACAACTGATAAAGTAGCAGTCATTTCTGACGTTCATAATTTGTTTAATGAAATCAAAACGAAACGAGAAAAAAATAAATAAATCAAAAAGCTGTCAGGAAATAATAAATTAATTTAAAAGATAACTCAGATTAAGGGTTGGATATTTCTCCAATTTTCTGTGACATTGTGCTGCTGGAACGAAGATGGTGTATTAGCCTTTTTACACATTTTCTGCAGTGGTGCCAATAAATATGGACATGTTGTGCATCTGTTTATAAAGTGATCAAATTTGATGTCAATTGCTTTTCAGATTTCAGTCTGTTAAAAATGTCCTTAATGCATCATGGACACTATGATACTTTAAGCCACTGGGGTGCTAGACCTTTATAGTACCTGCCAGGTTAAGTCACCCTTAAAGCGAATGGCAACTGTGGCGAATTCAACTCTCTTAAGTTACATAGGTGAGTTTTTAAGATCAACCACTCCTATGGAATAACAAGTGCTCATAATTGACCAGAAAAATCATTTAAAATGTGACATTTGTGTAAAACGTCCGCCAAAACTCACAGTGTGCTTTATTTCTTTTATCTAGTAAAAGCAGATAATGAAAGAATCCATTAGAAGTTTCCTTAAAGAAGTTAATTTAATATTCTGAAGAATGATTAGTTTTGATGTATTTTGTAATATTTTCCAAAAACAGAGATGCATACATAAAGTAATAAAAGATGGATGTTCGACTGCTAGAGGGCTTGGTCCAAACATAAGTTTTATAAAATATAATATATGTTGTATTTAATTTAACTTAGAAATCCAGTCAGCTTCTTTTGATTAATTTAATTCATTTGAATTGAATGAAATTGATAAAAAGAACACAAACCTCAGAATCAGCTACATAATGTCATGGTGAACATGTCTCTTAGTGTTGTTGAGTACAGACTGTGTTAATAGTCAGCTGCCCCATGATTTGATGATGCTTCCCAACTTCAGTCTTTTTGTTTATCCTGCATAATTATTAATGTCATTGATTTCTGCTTCTTTATTTCTATTTGTATTTATTCATTAAATTCTTTGTTTTTAACAAACATTTTTAAGTTACAGACTGTATGGTCTTTGGTTATAAAAAAGAAGTCTAATTTTTCTCACCACTGCATGCATGTATCTTTCTTTAAGCTAAACTGCCAAAATTTTTTCAGAGTGTCTCTCCTTTTTCTTTTATTTTGACATCTGCCTTTTGTCTTCCTCTGCTCGCATGCTGCTTTGCCACGGCCCAAACAGTGGGTCTTCCTTCAGCCAGTCCACCATCTTGCTGCCTGTCAAAGCTTGGCTCAGCTGGCTTATTAAAGGCTTTCACCTCCTGCTAATGTCGGCAACACCATGTCACCTCCTGCCACAGCTGTGCCAATCTCATGCCACCTCTCTAGTTTTGTAAGTGTCATTGCGTGGTGTTGATGTGCAACCAAATGGACTTTCTCACAGCTACTCTGTCACTATTGCATGGATTCTAGTGAAAACACATTAGTCTGCAGCTCTCCATCACTTTAATTGTGCTATGTGGACATTTTTGGATCCTTTTTGGGACTTAAAATGAATGAATATTTGCAAAAGATTTGGACAAAACTTCTCATTCAAGCAGTGTTCTTTATTTTTATGACTATGAAAACTGTAGATTCACAATGAAGGCATAAAAACTATGAATTAACACATGTGTATTTATATACTTAACGAAAAAGTGTGAAACAACTGGAAATATGTCTTATGTTCTAGGTTCTTCAAAGGAGCAAACTTTTGCTTTGATTACTGCTTCACACACTCTTGGCATTCTCTTGATGAGCTTCAAGAAATGGCTTTAATTTCACAGGTGTCCCTGTCAGGTTTAATAAGTGGAATTTCTTGCCTTATAAATGGGGTTGGGACCATCAGTTGTGTTTTGCAGAAGTCAGGTGGATACACAGCTGATAGTCCAACTGAACTGGACTATCAGCTGTGGAATTATATACTTTTTTTGTAAAGTATATAATTCCACATGTGTTAAATCTTCAATAATCATAGTCATAAAAATGAAGAAAACTCTTTGAATGGGAAGGTGTGTCCAAACCTTTGGTCTGTACTGTGTGTGTGTGTTTGTGTGTGTGTGTGTGTGTGTATATATATATATATTCCTTTTTTGAACTATATTTCTTCTTTATACTACGCTTCTAGGCTCAGTCATGTGAATAAAATCTGATTTCCCAGTTTTAGCAACAGTTTGACTTGCTGCTATGTGTGACAATATAGTAATGTGAAATGTAAGCTCAGCAAACATTTTCAGAGACTGTTTTACAGCAGCCCTGTGTGCATAATCAGGTTAAGAAAGTGTATACTTTTTTATTTTTATATCCAAGAACATTTGCACCATTGTAACTCTTCTGCTTGTATGTACAGTACAGAGGGATTAATACTTTTGGTTCTACTGGAATTATTAATTAATGTGTATTTTTTTAAGATATATTAAGCAAAACTTTCAGGCTGTTTGCTGAGATTTTCACATAATTTAAACATCGTATTAGTGCCCCCTGTGCTGCTGCTTTCTAAGTGAATTAAACTTTGTTTTATTTGGGTCTTATTGTGAATTTCCAAATAATTATCAGAAATGTGTGGGTTTGTCTTAGCCCATTTACAAAGCCACTTGCCAACCACTTACTTCATTACTCACCTATTTAGTAATCACATGTGTAATTCTATTTCAGTATAGCTGCAGCTGTGCTGCGAAGGTGTCACAGGTTTGTAGAAGAACATTAGCAAACAAAAGGCATCATGGCGACCAAGGAACACAGCAGAGGGTCAGGGAGAACATTTTGAAGTAGCATAAAGCAGGGTTCAACTTTAATACATTATATTAAGCCTTCAGCAGCTTTCTTTTCTTTTTTTGGAGATAAGAGTACAGAAAAAATGCAAGATATCTCAATCTCCCTGTACTGACAGGAAAAATAAGGAGAGCAGTATTCAGTGAAGCAGGCAAGGGGCTCTTGATAGAGCTGCAGGTTCACAGCTCTGGTGGGAAGATCTATTACCGGACAAGTTTTAGCTGAGTACTTCATTGCTGATTAAAGTCCATGAGAAAAGGAAGCACAGTCTGTGGTTAAAAAGAAGCTAGAGAGACAGAAAACATGTTAAAGTAGGTACTTTAATCAGATGTAAGCAAGGGTAAACTTTCTGGTCTACTTGCACAATATTTAGTGTTGTGGAAAACTAACAGTGTAGATCACCCTGGAGTTCTCACATTGAAGCATGTTTACCTTCAAGCAGGATGAAAACTAAACATTTTGCCAGAGATACAGTGGATTAGATTTAATGAAACCATGCTGGGATGGGACAAACCAAGAATCAGATGAGGATGTTTTGAAAAATTAATAAAAAAATCACTTTTCACACATTATCTATCCAATCTAACTGAGCTTGAATTCTTTTACCAAACGGTGTGTAGAAACGTCGGGGTCTAGCTGTGCAAAGCAGTTACCATTGCAGTGGAGGTATTGATAAAGCCAAGGGAATACAAATGTCTTTTTTTTCAGATTTTAATAGAAAAATTCTTTGGATGTTAATCAATAATTCATCAATAATTTTCCATCTCACCAGTAGTTAGTGTTTTGTGTTGGTCCATGGCAGTTAGTTCCCCATTAAAATATGCTGAAGGTCATTTTTAAAAGTTGATAAATTCTTCAAGGCACTCTTAATGATACTTGGTATTTAAAAAGAGATTTATTTTTTTCCTGACTCTCCTTGGTAGGACAGGTTCAGTACTTACACAGATTTGCACAGTTCTTTTACATGGCATTATCATCTCTGCATGGAAAATAAATTTCCAAAACAGGAGTCCTCCTCATTTAATCATTCTTACTTTTTTTTTCTACTTATAATGTCTGCTGTCATGTATAATCTCTGTTCTTTCATGTTTTCTTCCCTAGGCTAAAAAGTTGGAGCAGAAAGAAAAGGAGCTGGCCACCATTTCCAGTTTCTACAAAGAACAACTAGAAATACTGGAGAAAAAAGTAAGGGTGCTTTTCCCATTTCTTAAAGAATCAACAGTTTGTTGTCATGTCATCATAATGACATTTTGCATAGACACAAGCTAAAAATGCTCATGAGATGCACAGAAATGTTTCTATAAATTACAATAATTTGTTGCATCTTCTGTTTTCAATATGTTTTGTCATGTCTTCTTTACTCTCCCTAAACAACCTTAGGATAATTAGTGAGGTAGCTTGATCTTATACAAAGCACACATGCGTCTGATAATACCATTGCATATCTAATTGTTAAGCGAGTGTTAAAATTCAAATTAAACTAAAACGCAGCAGATGGAAGTTCAGATGTAATGGAGCAGCATTTAAGAGAAGCTTCCCAGACAGATTTATTTGCATTATTACATATGGCAAGGCAAGTTTGTTTGTGCAAGACTATTCATACACACAGTAATTTTAAGTGCCTAAGAAGAAAAAAAGAATGGAGATAAGATGCATTAAAAACTCATTATATGCAGTATTTGCATCACTTATATGTGTTTTTTTTCCTAACCATTTTGGGGGTTAAAAAAAAAAAAAAAAAAAAGATAAATGCAGATTGTTGGGTACCTCAGAATTCATAAAAGGAAAACCCATCCTCTTTCAAGTTCGGTAAAGTATCAGTAGCTGATGAAGAGGTGGTTCTTATGTTATTTATTGGGGAAAAAAGACACTTCAGATGTCACTTTATCATTGTTTGGTAAACATTAATAAGTCCTTCTGGTTCAAAAACACTCTAAACCGATGATTCTGTGGCTTATAGATTTAAGCCCAAAATATTTTTATGCAAGTCACTTTGTCCTGTTTCTGCAAACCCACATCATCATCTCTCCACCCCCATACCATTATAGTGAGACTAGCTGTAAATATGCTTTTTGGAAGACTGACAACTGTCCCACATTACACTGAACCCCATATAATTTCAAAATAATCCTTTCTAAATTGGTTGTTTGCTTACATACTTCTTTAAGGTCACCGCTGTTGTCTTCCTAGCTTATCATTGTTTTAACCTAGCTGTATAGCTTAGAGCTGCAAAGAGCCAAACTTGTATTTCTAAGTGGCACTTAGATAATTTAATGAATCCAATTAAATTCTGGTTACAATAAGCAGCACCTGGCTGCTTCTCTCCTTCACAATAGTTTCTCTTTTAAAGCTTAATCTTTGACTATGTTCACACAAAACAGACATCACGTAGCAGTGCAGTGTTTGCTGAAGTAATAATGTTCCTGCATGTCACTAGAAGTGTTGAATAAAGCTTCATTGAAAAAAAGAAAAAAAATGCTGGTGTCTCAGTATTATTGTCAGACTGTTTAGAAATGAAAGCTGAGGGTAGAGTGAACACTTTATGAAAAAAACGGTGGAAGGAGAAAAAGAACAACAGGTCGGAGTTATTAACCACAACCTTTAGTGGAGCATTTAGCAACTGCTGCTGCTGTTTGGTCTGTTTGCTTAGAACCGTTCAGACTATAGACGCTTTGAAAACTTGGATATGTTTCATATGTAGTAGCATATATAGGAGTGGTTCAAATTAGATGTTATTTTTAGCTGAAAAGATCTGAACTGGGCCGATTTGAATGCCTTGAGAGAGTCTGATATGAGTTACATATGAGTATAAACATTTGATTTGGATCACATTTGTGTGTGAACATAACATTTGTTTCATATTGATATTGTGAGAAATGCTTTTTTTTTTTTTTTTTTACCGTTGAAGTAAATGATTTTAGAACATGTTTCAGTTTTATTTTTCCCAGACGTTAACAAGTCATTACTGATAGAGGATGCTATTTATTTTCACAGTGACGTAAATAAAAACCCATGTTGAGTTCTCATGCTAAAGAAAAGCCACAATGGTCGCCTTATATCTATGTTGCAGATTCTAAAAGATTTATTTGACTTTGAGGAACAACCTAATTTGGGAAGAAGATATTAGCTGAATTTACCTCAAATCACAGACGGAGTACAGAGCAAGAAAGGACTAACCAGGAAACAATTTGTTAGTAATAACATTAATTAGCCGTAATATAAGAATATAAAATAAAGCTGTGAAAGCATCAAAGAAAAATCTTGCCCTTTTCATTTTCCCCTTACCTCCTCTGGGCGTTACTGTTTGCATTCACAGCTTTCCTCTTAAGTATTAATTCAAGACTCTTTGGCTCTTCCACTCTATCCTCCCTCCCTGCGGCAGGGCCCATCAGGTATACAGGAGGGGACCTTATCTAGTTCCTGGCACTCACCTCCTTTAGGCCTCTGAGAAAACCTTTTACATAGCCGAGTTAAATGGAGGGGTCTCTGCATGACTCGTAGAAAGCGGCACACGTTGGAATGGTTGACAGAGAAGACTGATTGGCAGGAGAGTGCAGAATGCTCTATCTTTCTTCGCTTGCTGCCACAGTCCTCTTTTCTCTCCTATCTTTTTCTCCCCCCCCCCCATAATTTTCGTGCAGCTGACCTGCATGTGGATGAGGGAGTGAGAAAGAAAGGGACTGAGTGGGAGGAGATAAAAAAGGCTATATGGACTGTGCATTAAACAGACTGTCTGTCCTCAGTCGGCTGCCATTTTCCACCTTATTTTCCTTCATTTTGCAGTCCAACACTTTATTTATCCAGCTCTCCATTCATGACATCGTTCCCATTTTGCTGCCTATCTTTTCCTTTTTCCTTCTCCAATAACCATCCCTGAATTTAGCTGGTTGAAAATAAAGGGTCTCTTAAAAACCTGGATGGTGACTGACACAGCTTATATACATAAAATTAGAAAGACATAAGCACTCGTATAGTCATGATTCAGTTATATATTGAAGGAAGCATTATGGGATGCATGTTGAAGAAATAATAAAAAAAGAAATGTATAACCTAGCCAATGGACTTGTTTTATCTGTCCCCTCTCTACTGCTGCCTGTAGTCTTAAAGGATTTCTTTTTAGGTATGAAAACTGCCTTAATCTAGATATTTGCTAAGTATTTACTCAGTCCATACAGAACAGATAAATATTTAACAGAATTACAACAAACACCCCACATTCAGATTTAGTTTAACTAAGATCAATATATTATCTATTTCAGATGATACCTGAGTGAAAAAATTATATTAACAAAATATCAGATATACCAATTAGATGCTTCAAAAAAAAAAAATCACCAAAACTATAGCTTAATAAATCAAACCGTGACTCAAAATGAACTGCAAATGTCTCGGATCTCGACTTATATAATTTTATTGTGTTCTAATGCTTCACAATAAAATAAAAATAAAATAAAATCCTCTTCCAATAGGCGGAATGATTTGAGTGATATGTGCCTGCTGTCCATCATCCATGCAAAAATACAGAATACATCAAACATGCTCCAGTGTCCAGTTTGTCTCTGGGATAAATGAAGATAATAAGCTTTTCTGTTTGTATAAAGGCTGCGGATGCCTTGTGAGTCCACTACTGACACAAATGTGCAAACAGCCTGTGTGAGGGGGAGTATGTGTAAACGTGTGATTATTGTAACAGGTTCACGTACAAGCTGTCATCTTTGAAGTGCATTCTATACAGCACCCGATCCACTATACACACTTTAGGTATACTAGCCAGTGGTGTGCTTTTTTGATTACAAAAATTCACTGAAAACCACACAGCTGAAAAATGACATTAGAATTGTCTTTGCTTTGCAAAATATAAAATTTAAAAAACTTGGTTTAACAGATTTATTATAGATCCGATTTGATAAGTTTTCATCTGTATGGCTCTGTCTCGTGTGAACTGGATGGATATGGATGGTACATACCGTCCTGCAGGTGCTGGCATGGTGGAGCTTTCTGTAAACATAAGTAGATTCAGTCACCCAGGACAGTGCTTAAGCACAAGGCTTCTGGACCTAAAGGCCTGGTTCTTCCCAAACAACTAATCGCAAGCCCAGCCAAGACTGTTCAGACCTCTACAAAGGAGAAGCTAAAAAACAGCTTCACAAACACATGGGCAAACACGTTGGGCCAGTTGTTAATTTACACCTCAAAGAGAAAGTAAACTGATTTTCAGATTAGAAAGTAAAGCTTTTGTACTGAGAAAACAGGTGGTTTGAGAAAGTAGGGTAATAAACTTAAAACAAAAAAAAATAGGACAAATAAGATGAAGATTTATGTAAGGATTTCATGTGTTATAAGGATGGAATCAGATTATATTTGTCTGCCAATGCATTTCTTTTATTTATTTATTTTTTAACTATTCTGTGGCCTTGTAGGGGACATGTTTGGATTGTAAGGCCACAATAACTAAAGCATTGAGCTGAATACAGTGTAGGGCCACTGGTTCACTTGTTTTAATTACCCTGCTGATGACCTTAATGGCTCTATTAGTGTGATTGTTCTGAAGCGAAGTTACAGTGGGGCAAAAAAGTATTTAGTCAGCCATCAATAGTGCAAGTTCTCCCACTTAAAAAGATGAGAGAGGCCTGTAATTTTCATCATAGATATACCTCAACTATGAGAGACAAAATGAGAAAAAAAACCCTGAAAATCACATTGTCTGATTTTTAAAGAATTTATTTGCATCTATGTCTTGCATTCAAATCCAGCGTATCTTCTTGAGCAGTTGCAGCTTTCGGAAGAGACGACGTCCCACCAGTAAGAAGTAGACTTCGGTTAAGCCATTTGAAAGGGAACAATACAGAATTCTTTTTCTGTATCTTAGAGATTAAGTCTGTGAGAATATAGCAATCAAACAGTTGTTTTGAAATTAAATTGTACATTTTTTCAAAACAGGGATTTATTTCCCCCTATATTTGATAAAACCCTGCACAAGGCATAGATAGGAGATGCAGTGTATAAATATCATTTTGTTATCATTATAATTTTGAAAATGCTTATCAGTATTCCCTCCATCTCCATGGCTTTGAACCTCATCTTTCTTTACGCCACTCCTTTAAAATATGCAGTCCCCTCATTTTAATTGGCTGTAACAAATTAGTTTAAATGTCTTAACATTTGCGTAGCAACTTTTTAAAACA